CAAAAGATACAATGATACAAAGATTACTCCAAGTCAAAAACCTCCCCATTCTCATATCTCTTGACAGCTGAGTGGACAGCGCTTCGGATTCGTAGTCCTGAGGGTCCGGGTTCGATCCCCGGTGGAGGCGGATACAAGTGAGCAAAATATTTCTTTCACCCTGATGCCCCCCTGTAACCTAGCAGTAAATAGGTACCTGGGAGTTAGACAGCTGCTACGGGCTGCTTCCTGGGGGTTCAGGTCTGGTCGAGGACCGGGCCGCGGGGACACTAAAGCCCCGAAATCATCTCAAGATAACCTCTTGTCTCGGGAGTGTGGATCTATTCGAAGTCAAATAATACATAATTCCTAATTCTCCCTGGCAAGGAGATACTGGAATACATGTATATATATGCATTAGTATTGGGGTGAGTATATGTATACACAAACATACATACCCATTGCAATACATATCAAGACCCAAACACTCACCAGAACAAGCTTAGCTTTCGCCTTCTTGATAGATGCATGCTGTGAGCTGCACATATGAAGCTGTGTGTCTACTTCGACATTTCTTAGCGCATTCCACAAGTTCATTCCCCCTTGTAAAGAGAGTGTATGTTGTGTTTATGCGGCTCACTTGAGCGGTAGCTGCCCATGAGTGTCCCTTTGTGTACCCCTAGTGTTAAGATGGTATGTCTTACACCCTGTGTATACCCCTGAGGATAATATGAGAGGGAGGGAGAGAGAGAGAGAGAGAGAGAGAGAGAGAGAGAGAGAGAGAGAGAGAGAGAGAGAGAGAGAGAGAGAGAGAGAGAGAGAGAGAGAGAGAGAGAGAGAGAGAGAGAGAGAGAGAGAGAGAGAGAGAGAGAGAGAGAGAGAGAGAGAGAGAGAGAGAGAGAGAGAGAGAGAGAGAGAGAGAGACAGAGACAGACAGAGGCAGAGACAGAGACAGAGACAGAGACACAGAGACAGAGACAGACAGAGACAGACAGAGAGAGAGAGCGAGAGAGAGCGAGAAAGAGAGAGAGAGAGCGAGAAAGAGAGAGAGAGAGAGAGAGAGAGAGAGAGAGAGAGAGAGAGAGAGAGAGAGAGAGAGAGAGAGAGAGAGAGAGAGAGACAGAGGCAGAGACAGAGACAGAGACAGAGAGACAGAGACAGAGACAGAGACAGACAGAGACAGACAGAGAGAGAGAGCGAGAGAGAGAGAGAGAGAGAGAGAGAGAGAGGACCTTCAGATATGTACATACACCGTACAATATATATATATGGGGAAGCAGAAGGGAATGACAGAGCACGGAGGGAGAGGGGGCACTAGTGGGGGGGGGGGGAGAAAGAGAGGAGAATGATGGGGGAGAGAGAGAGAGAGAGTAAGGGGGTAGAGAGGGGGGTAATGGGGCCCCATTGAGGAAGGTGCAGGCAGCAGCAGGTGGAGGGAAGGAACTTTACTACAACCCCCCTAACCTTGGCCAGGGGATGGGGGGTTGGTACGTGCTAACCTGCCACCTCTCCTCCTATCCTGTTCGTCCTCCCTAACCCTCCCTCTCTCTCTCTCCCTATCCCTCTCTCTCTCTCTCTCTCTCCTCCCTCCCTCACTCCCCCATCTCTCTGTCTCGATCCCCCTCCCTGTCTTCCTCTGTCTTTCTCTCACCATCTCCCTCACTGCACCTCACTCGCTTCTCACATACTCTTGAGAAAATCTGAGATTGATTGGGAACCAAGAACGATCACAAGTGCATAAATTATAAAGTGTATGGGAGGCCTAGGGGTGGTGGTGGACCCCCATACTCATTCTGTGGGTGGTGGTGGACCCCCATACTCATCCTGTGGGTGGTAGTGGACCCCATACTCATCCTGTGGGTGGTGGTGGACCCCCATACTCATCCTGTGGGTGGTAGTGGACCCCATACTCATCCTGTGGGTGGTGGTGGACCCCATACTCATCCTGTGGGTGGTGGTGGACCCCATACTCATCCTGTGGGTGGTGGTGGACCCCTATACTCATCCTGTGGGTGGTAGTGGACCCCATACTCATCCTGTGGGTGGTGGTGGACCCCATACTCATCCTGTGGGTGGTGGTGGACACCCATACTCATCCTGTGGGTGGTGGTGGACCCCATACTCATCCTGTGGGTGGTGGTGGACCCCCATACTCATCCTGTGGGTGGTAGTGGACCCCATACTCATCCTGTGGGTGGTGGTGGATTCCCATACTCATCCTGTGGGTGGTGGTGGACCCCCATACTCATCCTGTGGGTGGTGGTGGACCCCATACTCATCCTGTGGATGGTGGTGAACCCCCATACTCATCCTGTGGGTGGTGGTGGACCCCATACTCATCCTGTGGGTGGTGGTGGATTCCCATATTCATCCTGTGGGTGGTGGTGGACCCCCATACTCATCCTGTGGGTGGTGATGGACCCCATACTCATCCTGTGGGTGGTGGTGGACCCCCATACTCATCCTGTGGGTGGTGGTGGACCCCCATACTCATCCTGTGGGTGGTGGTGGACCCCCATACTCATCCTGTGGGTGGTGGTGGACCCCATACTCATCCTGTGGGTGGTGGTGGATTCCCATATTCATCCTGTGGGTGGTGGTGGACCCCCATACTCATCCTGTGGGTGGTGGTGGTCCTATACTCATCCTGTGGGTGGTGGTGGACCCCCATACTCATCCTGTGGGTGGTGGTGGACCCCATACTCATCCTGTGGGTGGTGGTGGATTCCCATATTCATCCTGTGGGTGGTGGTGGACCCCATACCCATCCTGTGGGTGGTGGTGGACCCCATACTCTTCCTGTGGGTTGTGGTGGACCCCATACTCATCCTGTGGGTGGTGGTGGACCCCCATACTCATCCTGCGGGTGGTGGTGGACCCCATACTCATCCTGTGGGTGGTGGTGGACCCCCATACTCATCCTGTGAGTGGTATACAACAACAACATATATGTTTCCACTTTCCCCTTGCCTCCGAAGATGTTGATGAGAGCATTAATGAAACGTGTCCTTCAGCGGCACGTGACAGGCCGAATAAAGTTACAATATATATATATGTTTATTACTATAACTCTATGACCCTCAGAGGATTCGAACGCTGGTATCAAAGCTACTTTCAATTACAAACACGAACTAAGTTCTTCCCTCAGGATGGCCTGCTTACATGAATAGATTTACTTGAATTGCAATGTAAATTGATCTTCAGTACCATTCAATATGAATGGTACTTACGGGCTCACCATAGCCCGTGCTACTTGGAACTTTTTGTTCCAGGTAGCGAATCTTAAAGAACATTTTAAATTTTTTTAAATTTTGCCCCGAGGGGCGAGTTTATTGGGCAGTGCCACTCATCTTGTGAGTGAACATACCGCCATAGCAGAATGTACAACACTCCCCAATAGGAAGAAAACCCGCTGGGTTGTTCATCCTGTCACTTATTCACCCTCTCATATTAGTAGGGTTGAAACATCTACATCTACTATACTATCGAACGTCACTAGGATAGCTCAACCACGTCACTAGGATAACACGACCACGTCACTAGGATAACTCGACCACGTCACTAGGATAACACGACCACGTCACTAGGATAACACGACCACGTCACTAGGATAACTCGACCACGTCACTAGGATAACACGACCACGTCACTAGGATAACTCGACCACGTCACTAGGATAACTCGACCACGTCACTAGGATAACTCGACCACGTCACTAGGATAACACGACCACGTCACTAGGATAACACGACCACGTTACTAGGATAACTCAACCAGTAGGATAACTAAATGTCCGTTCATGTCATTATATTGAGGAGCCTTCAGGAGATCTTCGTGAGGCCCCTTGACACCTGGGGGGCACCTGGGGTGTGGGGGGAATGTGGGGGGGAGGGAGGCTTCCACGGGGGGAATCTCTCAGCAGGGGTGACTAAGCCACGTGGGAGAGCTGGGGGGGAAGGGTGACGTCGACAGCAGCTGGGGGTGTGAGAGACAGGTCCTCCAGAAGTGTTCCTGCTTGTGACATTTTTAAACGTCTGCGCAGGATCTGCCAGGTGACAGATCCCAGCAGACAAAGAGGGACGATTGGTGTGTGTGTGTGTGGGGGGGGTAAGGGGGAAGGGGAAGAAGCAGAGGTGCTCCCTCCTACTCCCCCCCTCCCCCCCCCCTGGCTGGTTATAGCGAGGTGTTGGAGGAGTCAGTGAAGGTGGTGGACAAGGAGGAGGAGGAGCAGCCAAGTGGAACCTGCTGTATTGTAGGCGACTAGTCACCACCTACACCCCCTTCCCCCCCCTCCAACAAACCCCCCTTTCCTCCCCTCCTCAAGATCCCCCCCCCATTCCCCCTTAAGTCTGTCTGAGCAGGCATACCCCCCCTTTCTTTCCGCCTCTCTCTTTCACGACCGTACCGTCTCGTAAGATATCCCAGTGCACTAGGTTTCAGTGTCCACGGCGCGTAAATACTGAGTGGCGACTTGAAGTGATCCTACCGGAGAGTACCATAAGGTCGGTCTTGGCTTGTTTTGTTTACAGACTCTTGTCATAGTATTAGCTGCGACGTTGCCAAGTCAACGTCATCGTTAGGGTTGACAGAGTCTTCATTTTCTCCATTGACTGGAAGAGACGTTGACAGGACCGTAGTTCACGCTAGATTGGAGTGGTGAAAGAGTGTCTGTACAGTTAGTGTTGATAATTCAACTATTTGCTTACCCAATAAACCCAATTTGTATCCTAGATTCCTCCTTACATTTCGTAGTAGCTTACTCCAGTGCGTGAGAGCTCCATTGAATGAGCGGGGGAGGTTACTAGTAGTCACCACATAAATATTTCCCAAGATGTCATAATATCCCACCGGTAGCGTACCAGCGTGTATTAGAAAATAATACGATGAACAGAAATAAGTGAGATAGCGAACAGGGAGGCGCAGGAAGGGAAGAAACCGATAGGAATGCATTTAACCGGCGTGTGTCCTCCCCTACGCGGGACGGGTCCACCCGACCAGCTGTTCGTACTCGCAGCGCCCGGGTGAATGAGGCCCAGTTGTAGTATCGTCAGACGCCAGTCCAGACGACAGACATGCGCGCTGCGGCCTTCCCTAGTATTCGGCCATTTTTGGTTCATGGTGATAATAAATAAGTGTCATGGTAAACAAAATACAGTGCGAGTGAGTGAAATGAGGCTGTGTTGTAAGAGACAAGTCGGTCAAATGCTCTAGAAATGGCGGAGAGTGTGTGAAGGAGTATATCTTAGTAGCCCAAACGGGGGGAGTATAAAGCCCGACTTGAGCTGCCGAGGAGCAATTTTAAGTGATTCGCATCAGTTTCCCCACCAATTTGCCGCCGGAGAAAAATATGATCAACCAGCTACGCTACGTCACGAGAAAGCTCCAGGGTCAAACTTTAAATGAGGCTTCAGAAAACAGCGGAAAGGTGAGAGGGAGAGGTGTGAGAGGCGCCTTAATGTGAGTGTGAGAGGCGGCGGAGGGCTGGTGGCAGGCGCCGCTCACCCAGGCTGCCATGTTGGATGCCCCAGCACAAAGAAACTTTGACATTTTCTCCCCTTCCTCTGCCCCTGTGGCTTTTGACTCATTGTCCCCGTGGGGCATTGGCATAGGGCGTGCCCTTGCCTAGGGGTAGGGCAGGGGGCGTAGCCCCGGGGGCCAAATGGCCGTAGGAAAGGAGGAGAGATGAGAGTGTGCGCGTGAGTATTGGATTGGTGTGTAGGTCTGACCGGCCCCACTACTCCCGTCCCTGGGATGGGAATATTGTCCCTTGTAGGGGCAACCCTATTCCCATTACCCCATGGGAATGGTGGCGTGTAGGGAAGGAAGGGGTGTATGGTGAACGTGGACCCCTGGGATGGTGATCTTAGAGACACGAGCTTGTCACTCCTTAGAAAACCTCTTATCTTGACACTAGTTTCTGCTTTAGGGAACCACTAAGACATCATTCTTTGGCCTGATCATGAGTGAGAATTGTCAGCTATATTACCTTCCTTCCCTAATTGGTAGTTAACAAGACGATAAGGTGATTATCTTGTGATTCCTTCTTTAACCTAATGTTTATTTTGATCTGTAGGTCACGTTTTATAAACACACTTCCTCTTCCTGTTGGGGGACTTGGATATGTATATATATATATATAATGATTTAATCCCTTAAAAGTGGATTAAATCGTAGTTTTGTAAGTGATTCAGAGGTGTGTGTAAACATTGAGGATAAGACATTTGGCAAGTTACCTGAACAGGGAGTCATCTCTCTCTCTCTCTCTCTCTCCCTCCTTGCTATTTATACTATGTATATTGATCCGGAGCTCTCACACACATACATACATACACATACACACACACATACACACACCTTCACCGTACTCATCTCAGTATCGATTCCGCAATATGCAGGTCTACTACTACGATGAGCCGGCCTGGCTGGCCTCCTAATACACACACACACACACACACACACACACACACACACACACACACACACACACACACACACACACACACACACACACACACACACACACACACACACCAACCTGGAAACCCTGTGTGTGTGTGTGTGTGTTGGTGCACTCTAAACAGGGTGTTGGTGAGCCTTGTGGCCCAGCATACTAATAGTGTCTGGTGGGTGTTCTTGCTTACCTATATAGCCTAGCTGGTCATTTAAACTTTTTTTTTGTTCAGGGCTGTTCCTCGCTTGCTGTTTCTGTCTTAATAGAAGCTTACTCTGACCTGTAGTAACTAGCTCCATCTTATTCTTATTCTCTCTCTCTCTCTCCTGCTTTTCATATCCTTGTAGCCTCGGCTATTTGCTCACAATTGCACCTGCTATGGCAATCATTAGGTTACTTTGACATTACCAACTCTCACAACCACCTCCTTAAACCTTGGTTAATACTAGTATTACCACCAGTATTATTGCTAGTATTACCACCAGTATTACTGCTGGTATTACCACCATTATTAATGCTAGTATTACTACTAGTATTACTGCTAGTATTACCACCATTATTACTGCTGGTATTACCACCAGTATTACTGCTGGTATTACCACCATTATTACTGCTAGTATTATCACCAGTATTACTGCTGGTATTACCACCAGTATTACTGCTAGTATTACCACCATTATTAATGCTAGTATTACTACTAGTATTACTGCAAGTATTACCACCATTATTACTGCTGGTATTACCACCAGTATTACTGCTAGTATTACCACCAGTATTACTGCTGGTATTACCACCAGTATTACTGCTAGTATTACCACCATTATTACTGCTGGTATTACCACCAGTATTACTGCTAGTATTACCACCAGTATTACTGCTGGTATTACCACCATTATTACTGCTAGTATTACCTCCATTATTACTGCTGGTATTAATACCACTATTACTGCTAGTATTACTACCACTATTACTGCTAGTATTACTACCACTATTACTGCTAGTATTACCACCATTATTACTGCTAGTATTACCACCAGTATTACTGCTAGTATTACTACCATTATTACTGCTAGTATTACTACCATTATTACTGCTAGTATTACCACCATTATTACTGCTAGTATTACCACCATTATTACTGCTAGTATTACCACCATTATTACTGCTAGTATTACCTCCATTATTACTGCTAGTATTACCACCAGTATTACTGCTAGTATTACCACCATTATTACTGCTAGTATTACCTCCATTATTACTGCTAGTATTACCACCAGTATTACTGCTAGTATTACCTCCATTATTACTGCTAGTATTACTACCATTATTACTGCTAGTATTACCACCATTATTACTGCTAGTATTACCACCAGTATTACTGCTAGTATTACCACCATTATTACTGCTAGTGTTACCACCATTATTACTGCTAGTATTACCACCATTATTACTGCTAGTATTACCTCCATTATTACTGCTAGTATTACCACCAGTATTACTGCTAGTATTACCTCCATTATTACTGCTAGTATTACTACCATTATTACTGCTAGTATTACCACCATTATTACTGCTAGTATTACCACCATTATTACTGTTAGTATTACCACCATTATTACTGCTAGTATTACCACCATTATTACTGCTAGTATTACCATTATTACTGCTAGTATTACCACCAGTATTACTGCTAGTATTACTACCATTATTACTGCTAGTATTACCACCATTATTACTGCTAGTATTACCACCATTATTACTGCTAGTATTACTACCATTATTACTGCTAGTATTACTACTAGTATTACCACCAGTATTACTGCTAGTATTACTACCATTATTACTGCTAGTATTACCTCCATTATTACTGCTAGTATTACTACCATTATTACTGCTAGTATTACCACCATTATTACTGCTAGTATTACCACCATTATTACTGCTAGTATTACCACCATTATTACTGCTAGTATTACCACCATTATTACTGCTAGTATTACCATTATTACTGCTAGTATTACCACCAGTATTACTGCTAGTATTACTACCATTATTACTGCTAGTATTACCACCATTATTACTGCTAGTATTACCACCATTATTACTGCTAGTATTACTACCATTATTACTGCTAGTATTACTACTAGTATTACCACCAGTATTACTGCTAGTATTACTACCATTATTACTGCTAGTATTACCACCATTATTAATGCTAGTATTACTACCAGTATTACTGCTAGTATTACCACCAGTATTACTGCTGGTATTACCACCAGTATTACTGCTAGTATTACTACCATTATTACTGCTAGTATTAATACCACTATTACTGCTAGTATTACTACCACTATTACTGCTAGTATTACCACCATTATTACTGCTAATATTACCACCAGTATTACTGCTAGTATTACCACCATTATTACTGCTAGTATTACCACCATTATTACTGCTAGTATTACCACCATTATTACTGCTAGTATTACCTCCATTATTACTGCTAGTATTACCACCAGTATTACTGCTAGTATTACCTCCATTATTACTGCTAGTATTACTACCATTATTACTGCTAGTATTACCACCATTATTACTGCTAGTATTACCACCATTATTACTGCTAGTATTACCACCATTATTACTGCTAGTATTACCACCATTATTACTGCTAGTATTACCACCATTATTACTGCTAGTATTACCACCATTATTACTGCTAGTATTACCACCATTATTACTGCTAGTATTACTACCATTATTACTGCTAGTATTACCACCATTATTACTGCTAGTATTACCACCATTATTACTGCTAGTATTACCACCATTATTACTGCTAGTATTACCACCATTATTACTGCTAGTATTACTACCATTATTACTGCTAGTATTACTACCATTATTACTGCTAGTATTACTACCATTATTACTGCTAGTATTACTACTAGTATTACTGCTAGTATTACTGCTAGTATTACCACCAGTATTACTGCTAGTATTACTACCATTATTACTGCTAGTATTACCACCATTATTAATGCTAGTATTACTACCATTATTACTGCTAGTATTACTACTAGTATTACTGCTAGTATTACTGCTAGTATTACCACCAGTATTACTGCTAGTATTACTGCTAGTATTACCACCAGTATTACTGCTAATATTACTACCATTATTACTGCTAGTATTACCACCATTATTAATGCTAGTATTACTACCATTATTACTGCTAGTATTACTACTATTATTACTGCTAGTATTTCCACCAGTATTACTGCTAGTATTACCACCAGTATTACTGCTAGTATTACCACCATTATTAATGCTAGTATTACTACTAGTATTACTGCTAGTATTACCACCAGTATTACTGCTAGTATTGCTACCATTATTACTGCTAGTATTACCACCAGTATTACTGCTAGTATTACCACCATTATTACTGCTAGTATTACCACCAGTATTACTGCTAGTATTACCACCAGTATTACTGCTGGTATTACCACCAGTATTACTGCTAGTATTACCTCCATTATTACTGCTAGTATTACCTCCATTATTACTGCTGGTATTACCACCATTATTACTGCTAGTATTACCACCAGTATTACTGCTAGTATTACCACCATTATTACTGCTGGTATTACCACCAGTATTACTGCTAGTATTACCACCAGTATTACTGCTAGTATTACCACCAGTATTACTGCTAGTATTACTACCAGTATTACTGCTAGTATTACCACCAGTATTACTGCTAGTATTACTACCATTATTACTGCTAGTATTATTGCTAGTATTACCACCAGTATTACTGCTAGTATTACCACCATTATTACTGCTAGTATTACCACCAGTATTACTGCTAGTATTACCACCAGTATTACTGCTAGTATTACCACCAGTATTACTGCTAGTATTACTACCATTATTACTGCTAGTATTACTACCATTATTACTGCTAGTAT